ACGTTGGAATTTCAAACCGAACCATCCATTTAGTCTACGAGTGTATATTATTCTAATTCCACATTACATGGACTAATTAAAGTGTTCGGTTCGAAATCACAACTTATATCACCTGAAGGCCGGAACACAGTCCGATGTGAAGTAAATATTGTTAAGAGTTACAATACCTCATCTAAGAAATAGGCCGGAACACAGTCCGATGTGAAGTAAATATTGTTAAGAGTTACAATATCTCATCTAAGAAATATATATATATATATATATATATATATATATATATATATATATACAGATATGTAATGTTGCTAAGATTGTTGCCGCACATAATGAATTCTGGTGAGATTTCTTGAGATTTCTTTTTGGCCAAAAGTCAAAATCGACGGACGATTTTGTACGTCCACAAAAAAATATCAGGAGAAACTACAATCAGCAGTTATAAGCCACAAGAATCACTTTTATTCACTGTACCAAGGTGATATATCCGATCACAACAGACGTCTTTTCGGGTATTCTCGTAATATATATATATATATATATATATATATATATATATATATATATATATATGCAATGAAATTTTGTCACTTTTGTTAATGTGTATGTTCTTCACAAAACAATTTAATTTTCGGTAGAATTTCAACGAGATTTTTATTCCAATTTTTTTCTAAAGTCCGAGTGAACTAAGCTTTCATCGAAAATCTAAACTGAATTTGAAAAATTACTTTTTGTCGAACTTTTACTAGAGTCAACAACAAAAATTTCAATATGAGTTCAGGTAAAAACATGGCATGATAACAGCAGAAATTACAATATGAGCACTGGTAAAAATGGTTGCTGAATACATTAGGTTTATAATACCCAGATATTCATACACAGATGTCCTCAAGGACATGACACAGTGGATAAATTCGTTCGTTAGATCCAGTGACAGGACCCAAAGAGTGTGAGTTCAATACCCGGTTAAGGCAGAATTTTTCAGAGGGAAATTCTAATGACACAACTAAATTAACAGGAGGTAAGTGATAACTGACATCCATTAAACGTAGCACGTGGAACTAGAACTAAAAGTGAGCGAAATAAAGGGTTCATTTCGACATTCCAACCACCCGTAGAAGATCGGAGCGTACAACGGCCGAAACATTGTAATAAATATGGCGACAAACATGAGGACAATAATCCGAATAATGTAAATTCTTTTAGTTATTTATGAATATACGAAAATTGAATTTCCTTTGAGAGTTAAACGTGGAGATAAATGATTTCCAGTAATTTCAATAATCAAATGCATTCATCGAGAGGCACTTCTTGACTGCAGTTTGCCATAACACACACACGCATATATACACACACACATATATATATATATATATATATATATATATATATTTATATTTATATTTATATTAAGGGGATATGGTAAAAAGGAACACCTGAAAAAAGAATATACATTTCTAAAAAGACTTCCGGGTGAGCAGTGACTGACCAATTTCTAAGCAAGATTTTTTGTTGGAGTTTTTTTCCCCAAGTAATTGTCATTCTTCATCCTTTTCATCTCGGACCATTTTAACAACCCCCCCCAAAAAAAAAAAAATAGTTGTCCATTATCTGATGATTTGTTGCGCTCTGTAATGTTTCATGCTTAAACGGCATCTTCAGATCGATTCATTGATTTTGTTTAAAGAAATATCAATTCTTTTTGGCTGATTTAATGACAAAAATAAATTTTCTTTGGAGCTTTCAAATAATAACAATATGATATATGTTATTCTGCTTTCACAATTGAATACATGGTAAATGATACTCAGCTTTTGTGCATATACATGTTTGTGTGGACATGATTACTAGAGGCGGTGATATGTGTGTGTTTTATGTTGTAATTATATTTTGGAAATATAATTCGATGACTTTTTTTTTGTAGAATATTATATGGATTCATGTTCTGACAGAGTTCTTGCATGTTGGTTGTATTTTAAACGGATTTGGCTGAAGTCGCTACAATTTGCTAATATGTGTTTTATTGTATATAGTTCTTGGAATACCGTACAGATTGGAGGCCGCTCTAGTTTAAGAATATGAGAATGTGTTATCATGGAGTGTTCGATATGAAGTCTGGACAGTATGACTTCATCTTTCCTTGTTTTTAGTGTTTGATACCATTCTTCTAGAGTCGGTTTGTTTTGAATAATTTGTCGTTTGGGCAGCCGGACCATAATTTCTGCCATTCTTCTATGCTAAATGTGTTAATGGTTCATTTGGTCTCTGTTTAAAGGATCTTTTGGTGTTTGAACTATCTTTGGTAGTTGATGTCTCTTGGCTACCGAATCCATACCTAGCCATATCGTTGATATTCTGCTGTCTATCTAGCCATATCGTTGATAACGATATGGCTACGTAGGCAGCAGAAGATGATATCATTATATGTTAACATGTATGCTTATAATTAATGGGTTCATCATTTTTTGTTTTTGTGTGTTGTGAGTACTGATATGGAGTCTAAATATATGATAAATATTTTGTGTTTGCCTGTAGTTATATCAAGAGACAAATCTGTGACTACCACTTCTGCGCTGAACATAGAGCTATTGTTCGGAAGTGATTTCATTAATTTTGTTTTCTTGTGTATGGTCGTGTAGCTCACTTTGATAGACCGGGTGTTGAGCTCAATGTCCACCTTTATATTTACATACACCCTTGTGAAAATTAATTGAAACAACCGCTTTAGTTTCCTTTCTTTCACCATACGGTCAGTTTTAGACCCACTGGAATGACAGGGTGTAATTGATTTCTATATTTTCCTCAGATTAGGTCATTTGCAGTAGTGTACAGTGATATGAATCTATTTTCGGGGTGCATGATGAAATTTGTTTAGCCTTGAAAAATATTCATCCGTCATCAGTGATCAGATTTTTATCACGCCCAGACACTATTGTATCGAATGTCGATTTTCCTTTAAATTATAGCATACACTAAAATTACATTTTTATCCTAGAGTTTTGAGGTATGCTACATATATATATATATATATATGGGAAAAAGAGCTCAATATTAGAGGATGAAATATATTAACTGTTAACTGGAAATAGATTGTTGTATGTATGTATTTAAAATATATATTATGGAAGGTATTATTTTCCAAAAACAGTCAACATATTGTGTCCATGTTTAGAGTTATTCCGTGTTGTTTTAATTTTTGTTTGTTTTTATTAATAAGGCTTTGATTATTGTTAAGCTTTTTTACATGCAGACGATGCTATTATATTTGGATTATGAACAAGTATGTTTTGAATAGGGCCCGGTATATATATATATATATATATATATATATATATATATATATATATATATATGGGGGTGCCTGCAAAGAAACGCGATGCCTAAGGTTTAAAATAAATTTTAAAAATAAAAAAACTCTGTTGAATCTTTTATTTTGAGTTTAATTTCAAGTTTATAAATTCAATTTAATATTTCCAATAAGCAAAGGATTTTGCTGGATTTCAAAACGAATATAAATTGATTGGAATGTTTGTTTTTTTAATTTCTTAAAATGGCTGATTTCAGCCATATTTACGATTCTCTCAGCACAAAGTAATTCTCTTTATTACAACTCTTTCAAGAATAAAATATAGTTTTCTCAAACTTTAATTGGGGAAGATTAGCTGATATAAAGTTTAATTTATTTGATTTGAAACAAATATTTACTTTAAGTTTAAATATCGCAGAAATACATTTTTAACACGGAGCTGGGTGTTTTTTGATGAGATGTTAACAGTTGTATTGACACACTGACAGCTACACTGACAGCAGGAAATTTAACTAATTTATTGTGCGGGGAACATATCTGCAAAGTTAATTGACGAATATAACGTGAGCGCCTTTTTTTTTAATAATTTTTAACTACCCAGTATAGGAAAATATTCGAAGTAATTTAATATTTTATTGAATTTTAGGTATTTTGTTTTTAAATTTACTATAGCTGACGCTCATATTTTCTGCAAATGTTGTGTGTGGACGTCTGTATATATAAAAGTCGGCACATTTATACGCACGCAAAAAAAAAAAAAGAAAATTAATTAAAACTTACTGGGGTTCGCTGGATTGTAGTAAGCTTTTCCATTTATGATTAGTGTGTAGTTTTTACATAATAGCAATATCACCTAACCGGTGTAAATACAGAATTTGAAAAGATTTAAAACTTCAAAAATTAAAAAAATGAATACAGTCTTTGCAAATCTTCATTATTCATATAAATGTCTTCTTATGATAATAGCGTCCATAATATTCTCATTCATAAAAGCAAATAAAAGCTTTCCTAATTAATTAATGTCTTCATTTTATTGCATTTTTTTTAAAATTTTACAATTATCAGTAGATTTTCGTAACTGCGGGTCCTGTTTTATAAAAAGAATTTGATTGTCTAAATTCTCTAGGGTACTTCTGGTTATAGATAATATAAACATTACATTTAATAACAAAAAATCCTTTGGTCTTTGTTTTTATTAATTGTTGTGGTAGGATCCACCTAATTTGCATAGTGGAGTACCGACCATATAAATATGGTTGGTACCGGGAAGAGAGGGAGGAATCAAGAGATTCAACCAGAGACTCTGCCCGACTGCGACTCAGTCAACACATTCTCCAGGAACGGTCTTACCAGGAATATACAAAAGACTATATGTAAATATTGTGTACACTTTCTTGTTTCAATACATTTTGTTCTAAGTACATTTTGTGTTGCATTATTATTCCATGCATTAGTCAAGTTTCAACATTAATAACAAAGATTTTAGTGATAAAACATTGTTTTTTATTCAGTCTGAGGCATTTTTCATCATGTGTGTGCATTTTTAGCGAATCTTTAGCGATACCTATATATATATATATATATATATATATATATATATATATATATATAATTGATTTTATATATATATATATGTGTGTGTGTGTATGTGTGTGTGTGTGTGTGTGTAATTGATTTTACCATCAATAGGAATGGTAATATGCTACCCCTGAACCCTCATCCTCATCCTCATTCCCTTTCTTTCTGTGCCCTCCACATTTCTCTCTTGCTCTCTCTCTCTTTCACTCTCTCTCTTTCTCTCTCTCACACACACACAAACACACACACTTTCAGCTTCTCAAATGTCGCAATTCAAGAGACATATGTAAAAATAATTGGTCTTTTTTTCATATTAATAACAAAGATTTTGGTGATAAAACATTGGTTTGTATTCAGTCTGAGGCATTTTTCATCATGTGTGTGCATTTTTAGCGAATCTTTAGCGATACCTATATATATATATATATATTTATGTATATATATATATGTATATATATGTATATATATATTTATGTATATATATGTATATATATACTTATGTATGTATATATATATTTATATATATATATAATTGATTTTATATATATATATATATATATGTGTGTGTGTGTGTGTGTGTGTGTGTGTGTGTAATTGATTTTATCATCAATAGGAATGGTAACACGCTATCCCTGACCCTCATCCTCCTCCTCCTCCTCATTCCCTTTCTTTCTGTGCCCTCCACATTTCTCTCTTGCTCTCTCTCTCTCTCTCTCTCTCTCTCTCACACACACACACACACACACACACACACACACACACACACACACACACACACAGACTTTCAGCTTCTCAAATGTCGAAATTCAAGAGACATATGTAAAAATGCTGTCATAGAAAAAGAAAAGACAGTGATTACCAAAAATCACTGAATTACATTTGCTTTCTAATTATTTTCCTTCAAAGCGACAATTCTTCCCAGGACAATTATTTGATGCTGAAATAAGGACCGGAAAAAGATAAACATTAAATTTACAAAAAATGAAATCATTTTCTTTTTTATATAAGTCTATCAATAACTTTACGTCCACGGAGTTTTTCCAAGTCTTGAACGCCGAGGGAATTTTCAAGACAACATTATGACAATATTTATGATATTACTGTCTAGATTTTAGAGACCAGGTTATTTTTTTCCAGAATAATATCTCCATAAATTGAGATTTCTAGCATTAAAAAATTTGATTAGTACAAATATTTGACTAATTTTCTTAGTAGTATTTTTATTGGAATCAAAAATATTTCATTACACTCATACACAGACTTACGCATATATGCACAAATATCTATCTATCTATCTATCTATCTATCTATCTATCTATCTATCTATCTATCTATCTATCTATTTGTTGATGTTTGATCTATCTATCAATCTATCTATCTATCTATCTATCTCTCTCTCTCTCTCTCTATATATATATATATATATATATATATATATATCTGTTGTTTTATCTATTTTCAGTTGTTTGATCTATCTGTTGTGTAATCTATTATCTGTTGTTTGATCTATCTATCTGTTGTTAAATCTTTCTATGTATCTATCTATTGTTTTGAACTATATATATATATATATATATATATATATATATATATATATATATATATATATATATATTCATTATCTATCTATCTATCTTTCTCAATCTGTTCCTATCTCTCTTTCTGTCTTTCTAAATATGTTCATATCTATCTATCTATCTATCTATCTATCTATCTATCTATCTATATATATATATATATATATATATATATATATATATATATATTAAAAATGGAAAAATAGAAACCTTTTTTATTGAAAAAAGATTTTTATTACGTGTTTCGCCCTTCTAGGCCTCATAAGAACTAAAAACAAAAGTAATGTTTTATGTGCATTTGTGTGTATGCTTAAATAATGAATCACTTTTTCCCCAAAGATGGCGTTTTTCGTGATTAAAGATGAATGAAATGAGTGACTTTAAAAAAAATGTCCTCAATATTTATTCGGTATCTTTTCTTTATAATTCTTAGTTTATCTAATATATTGTGTCTATATTTTTCCCAACTTTTTGTATCGAATTAAAGACCAAACTTCATCTCATTTTTCAGTATCCTATATTCTATTTTAAACTCACGCAAACACACAAACAGACATATTGACAGACAGACACAAACACACGAATATACACACATAATATATATATATATATATATATATATATATATATATATACAGAGAGAGAGAGAGAGAGAGCGACTAATCTCTATATATATATATATATATATATATATATATATATATATATATATATATATATATATATATATATATATAGCCGTTTCTATACACGAGGAGATTTAGCATTCATTGACCGAGTAAGAATTATTACTTTCTATGAAATGAATAAAATTTTCTCTTAAAAAGAAATATTTTAGTAAAATAGATTTTTCAAGTTCAGTAGTTGCTATTGATGGCGTTTTCTTTCCTAACCTTATATTTGAAATATTTTTTTATTACCCTTTTGTTCAAAATAGTCGTTTCCTCTCTGTGAATGGTAGAACTAGGAGAACTGAAGAATATGGTGTTTCAGAACATTTGCCATAGCAATAGCAACAAACTAGCCTCTGGCTTGTAACGTTGTAAGAGGCTGCATAATGGAAAACAAGACCGGATGGAAAGTGAAGATTCTGCAGCTCCAGCCAAGATATTGTACCGTCCTGGGCATAACGATAAACTACAAGGCCTTTGATTAGAAGGTTTTGAGGAGCATGGAACCACATCTTAATTTCTGGTGTACCAAGGTTCACCCTGACCCGGGTTGGTCGAACCTGTCAAAGTCCCAGCTCTGCACAAATATTTAATCCCTAAAAAGGTCAAAACACTTATGAAAGTATAAAAATAGGTTTTAATACCAGTAATACTTTGGTGGGGTGGGTGGATTTTTACCAGCAATAATTTTTTTTAAATATTAGCAACAATATATTTTTGAAAAAAAATATTACCAGCAATAAAAATCTTGTTGGCATTTGTTGGCATCGATTGACTTTGATATGCCATAAAACAAACCAAACCAAACCAGATATTGTATCAATACACGATTTTCGTTCGAAACTGACTCTTGTAAAGATGAAGTATGGCAGAAGGAATCAGATACGTCCTTCAGTGATAGAATGAATGATATGAATTATTGTGATTATTCCACGAAATGTTAAGTCTAGTATTCTAGTAACTTTTGTTCTGATCTTTGCGTTTTCCACGACCATCCTATGTTTATTAAAATCCTGATTAATATCATTATTTTAGAAATATTTACTGAGCTCTGTTTAATTTGAAACAATGACACAAATATGGAGTATCTGAGAATTGAAATAACTTCTTCTTTATGTGCCCTGTCTCTTCAGAGCGTAGGCGATCATGGCTCTCCACAATTTCCTGTCCATTGTAGACCTTAATAAATTTTGTCTTTTTGTGATTTCTCCTAAACCCTGTTTCGCTATCTATTCACTTAAGCTCGTTGAGTACATTATGCTTTGCTTCCCTCTGTCCATGTTGCTCTCAATCCGTCCTGTGAGTATCAGATTTTCCAAGCCCTCTTTCCTCATTATGTGCCCCAGTATTTTCAACTGTCTTTTCCCGACAATAAGTATGTAAGTTTCCTCTTTGTTTTCATTTTCTCTAAAATATCGTCATAGCTCATATGTTCGTCATTGGTATCCTAAGCATCCTTCTGTAGAACCACAGGATTAATAATGCTAGACTAGCTCGTTAACCATTACCAAAAGTGAATTGCATTCGTGATTATCTATGAATTCTATCTATGATGCATTCGTGATTCTATCTATGAAATGCATTCGTGATTATCTATTCGAATTCTTATCATTAATTTTGTTGTGTTGATCATATTTCAGCGCAGGAATTTTTAGGTCTTCTTCCGTTTCATATGGCATTTCCTTTACTTCAAAACTATCTCAACACAGATATCAATAACATTTCTTTCTGTCTTTTGCTCGCTGTTCAATTACAACAGTTGCCAGATCTGAGCAACAATAACTCGTTTTACACAAGAAAATATTCATAGTCTCGAAAACATCATATATATGCTAATTTTTTTTATTTCTTTTTACTTTTATGTTTTCATTTTATTATATTATCTTTATTATTATTATTATTATTATTATTATTATTATTATTATTATTATTATTTATTTATTTATTTATTTTGTTCATTTTTTTGATCTTTGGAAGAGACCATTATAGTCATATGTGTAGAATCTATTGAAAAGAATCTTGTTTTGTGCTTTTTTTCTCTCATTTTTATTTTAAAAACTAATCCTCCCTGTATGTTTTTACTGAAAGAAACTACTTACCAGGCATTTGATATGGAATGTGATTGCTTTTACGAAAAAAAGAAAAAATGTCACTGTTATTGTTTTGCAAGTTATTTCCAATTTGCGCATGCGCAAAAATGTCTTTTAAGTTGCTTTCAACTTGGCGACCGTTTTAGCTCTCATTACTTTTCATTGAAATTCTTACGCAGTCTTTGATCACTTCGTTAACGTTTCATGAGTAAAAATAGTTCCACTTCGGAAGAAAATCTTAATTTTTCGCCAAATGTTTTCATTTGTTTTCTTTAGAATTCTTTGACTTATTTCATTTTCTTTTTTTTCATTTTGCTTACTTTTCTCCTTTTCTTTTTCTTTGTTTCTTTCTTCTTTTTTTCTCATTCATTTTTTTTCATATTTCCTTTTCGTTTCGTTTCGCCCTTATTTCTTTTTTTCCTTTATAACTTATTTTCATTTCTTAATTTTTCAATATATTTTTCTTTACTTTTCTATTTTTCTTTTCTTTCTTTTTCTTTTTTCTCCTTCTTTTTCCTTTTTTCCTTTCTTCAGTTTTCATTGTTCTCATTTTTCATTCCCTCTCCACTCTCCATTTTCTTTTCCCTTTCTCCTCTATTTCTTTTCTGTTTTTCTTATCTTTTCTCTTTTGTATTAGTTTTGTCTTTTTCATTTCTTTTTCTTTTTCTTTTCTCTTTAGGTTTTGTTTTCTTTCTATCTTCCGTTTTCTTTTCGTTTTATCTTTTCTGTTTGTTTTTTTTTTATTTTCCGTTTTCTTTTTTTTAGCTATTCTTTTTTGTCTTTATTTAATGTCGTTTTATCTATTCTATACTTTTTCTTTCCTTTTTTTCCTTTTATCATTCTGTTCTTTTTTTCTTTTAAGAATTTTTAACAACTGCAATAACTAAAACAAATATCACTTGTAACACGAAGAGACAATAACGATCTAATCAAGATGTTAACTTTCCACACTACTTCAAACAAAAAGTTAGGAAGGAAACCCCCATTAATATCGGGAAGAGCCATAAGAGTCATTAGACTTGAGAAACCTAATTTCTTGAAAATTCTTTTAACAGAAAGATTTTATAAATTTCATCTGATATTAGCATTGGTTGCAAGGTCAATGAATGCCGGATGTTTCCTTATAAGGAACCGGCTAATATTATTATTGCAACTACAAAACATTCCTACGCTGACGAAATAATAGGAACGATGAAACCGAATATTCTCGAAGCTGGAATCAAAATTTGCTCATCAAGGCAATAAAATCTCTTTCCCAATCTTTCCGATCTTTATTCTACTTCGATACTGTTTCGAAGAGGTTAATTAAACCGACTAGTCTAATTATACCGCCATTCTATATCATCAGATCTACGAAAGAAAAGAAGTTTCCTCAAATATAACATCAGTTGTCGAATCTAATTGGTAATTCGTTTATCAATGGAATCAGTTAAGATAACAAGTCTTTAAAAAAAGAAACTGGATATCTTTTAAGATCATGATCAATTAAAATATGCTTTTCGTTGATCATTATGATTTTTGCTGAGTTTTCTATTCAGATAATGATCTTAGGAAAATCGAAGTTTCCTATTTTCCATTTTCATTTTAAAGTTTAGGCAAAATTTAGCGATTGAAAATCATTTTCATGAAGATGTATACCTAACAGACGAAACAGATCTTACGGACACATATTTACAGTCCAATTAAAAAAACACGCCATTTACTAAACTAGATGCTAATCTGAATGAATAGATTTTGAAATTCCTAGTCTCTATTGCAATTTACATGATCATTCTTATATATTCACAGAACCCGAAACTCCTTAATATTTGGAAGATTCTTCTGTGAGTTTATAGAATTTTATAACTGTTTAACCTAGAAAGGGTTAGTGAATGAGGAATAATCAAAACGGAGGTTGGAAATGGAAATGGTAATCTTTATAGCACCAACAAAATACATTACTCGCCAGCGGCGTGAAGTAGGTAAACCACTGCTAATGTTGAAGCTCTTAGCATATTATCCCCACTTACAATATAGTCCAACGTATTTATGAGGATTCGGACATACCCATTAGTGTTTATAGGTACGTTATATAACAATACCTCGATAGAATTCTAGTTTTTCAGGCTCTATTTTAGTCTAATATAAAAAAGAAACGCATCACGAGGAAACATGTCTTGAAAAATTTGACACTCACAGGAGAGATTAGGGGTAAGAGGGACAGAGGAAAAAAAGCGTAACCTACCTAGCGTGCTTGGGTGGTAGAACAGGGTAGGGGAGAAATAGTAAAGACAACATTTACTAAGATCTACAAAGGACATGAAATTGTGGAGTGCCATGATCGCCAACCTACTTAATGTACAGGGCACATAGAAGAAGACAAATTTTAACTGTACATCAATTTATCTCTACATTTTTACACATTTTACTGAAAATCTAAACTAATACATACAGTCATACATCATACAATTAAGTCAGATGATAGTGTGAATGTCTGCTACATATCCAGCCAATCGTACCAACCATCATAATCTGTTGCCTTGCAGTCTCTTGAGGTTTCAGGTTGAAACTTGGAGTCAGCTCGCAAGACAAAGAGGCTTAAATAATAATAATAATAATAATAATAATAATAAGAAGAAGAAGAAGAAGAAGAAGAAGAAGAATATTCACACTAATACGGCCCACACATTACGAAGGGCTTTACCTATGTAAAATATGTGTGTTGTTCGTTACTCTTGCTCTCACTCTCTGTAACCCTTTGCGTGCTATTGACGCCCCAGCTTTACTTGGGGTGAAATGCTAAAAAAATAAATTCAGTTTCTTTATTATAATGCGGAGAATACAAAAATCGAAAAATAACCATGGATGATTTTTCCAACAGCTAAATATATTCAGCTCGCCAAAACCAATATAAATTCTTTGAGAGCAGGAAAAAGCGAACCCATCTACGTTCTAGCCTCTGCACAATGTCTACACGCATGTCAGCAACATGCGATATGCTGAGATAGTATATCTCTTTCTCTCCTTTATGGATTATCATGCTGATTCGTAAATTATTTTTCTTTTATGTGTCATGGGCGATCATGACTCTCCATAACTATCAATCCTTTGTATCAATAATCAATATTTGTCTCCTTGCTATCGCCTATAGGCCTTGTTCTGCCATCCATTTATACAAGTTCATAAGGTACTTTACTCGCTATTTCTCTGTGTCCCTCTTGCCTAAAATATGTCTTCTGAGGGACAAATTCTCCAAGCCCCCTTTCCTCATTATGTGCCCCAGAAATTTCAACTCTCTCTTTGTAATCTTAAGCTTTCACGTCTTTCTTTTTACAACTTCCTCGTTGCTTACATGTTCAGTCCATGATATTCTCACCATCCACATCTCGAACCACATGTTTATCGCTTCAGACATCTTTTTTATCATTGAGGAAAGTGCCCAGCAGTCAGACCCATACCATATAGAAAGACTGATATTACATAGCCGTAAATCAAACTTTTGTTGATTTCTAACGGAATTTTTTATTTCTTAATACTTTTTAAAAACTTTTTGAGGCTATCTTTCACTATTCTATTACACCTTTGGATTTCGGTGTCACATTTAATGTCTACTCTAATAGCTCTCCGACCCTGTGCGACCAAGAAGACATCAAGAAAGTCGATGATTTTCTACCTGGGAAGCTTCATCAGTAAATATGTGTGGTGGGAGACGAAGACATCAAGTGCCGACTCAACAAAGCCTGACATGCTTTCGACACTCTACTCTCAAACTGGAGATTAACAGCCCTCGTACTTGACAACACCCGGATCTCAAACACCAATGTCAAGTGGGTCCTACTTTACTGCTCAGAAACCTGACGAGTAACCAAGACCAACACCCACAAACTTCAGACCTGTACCAAACGATGTCTCAGAAACATCGTCAATATCAGGTGGGCGGAAGCTATCTTCAACGTCCAACTGTGGGACAGGACCAGACAAGCCCCAAACGAGATTGACATCAAGAAATAGAAATGAAGATGTATCGGCCACACACTCCACAAGCCTGTTTTTAGTGTCACCAGGCAGGCCCTTGACTGGAATCCACAAGGGAAGCGAAAAATGTGTCAACCAAAACAGACTTGGTGAAGAAGTGTTGACGCAGAGGTGAAGGCAGTGGGCACGACGAAGGCAGAACTGAAGAGGATCACCCAGAATCGTGTCTGCTAGAGAGGGGTGTTGTTGCGTTCCTATGTTCCCCAAGGAATCAATTGGAATAATATAAATAAATAATAGTTCCTAGGTAGTTACATTTATGCATTTTCTTAATTTTGACACCTCCATTTCATAACTCACATTTTAGTCTATCCATCTTGCTAATGATCATATGTTCTATCTTCTTACAGTTGATGTTTAGCCTCTTCTTTATTACCTTGTCAAAGAGGTTCCTTCAATGTTCTGTGACTGTCAGAAACACAGTGTCATCCGTATTTCTTATATCGTTAAGATTTTCTCCACCAAGAATACACCCTGGCAGAACTCCTATTTTTCATTGGATTGTCTTGATGTACACCCCTGTGCAAATTAATTGAAACAAAACGAATAATTCATACACCCTTGTGCAAATTAATTATACAGGAAAACGTGGAGGGTCATGATCATCTACACCCTTGTACAAGTTAATTGAAACAAAACAAAGTGCACATGTTAGTACTTCGTATGTCCCTTCTACGAAGTCGTTAATTGCAGATTGACCACAGATTCTTTGATTTGCTCACTGGTAAGACTTGCCAGTGTGTTCGTATAGCGTTACAATTTTTTTACGCTTCCTTGGAGTAGCGTCCATCGCAGACAATGGCCGTAGGACAACTAATCGACAGTAGAGACAATAGTGTTTGGTCGTGATGAAAATCTGATGCAATCGCGGATGAAGCAATATTTTTCAAGGACAAACAAATTCCATTATACAACCCGAAAATAGATTCATATTACTGCACACAATTGCAAATGACCTTATCTGAGAAAAAAAAATAGAAATCGATTACACACTGTCACTCCAGTGGATCTAAAACTGACCGTATGGTAAAAGAAAAGAAAACTAAAGCGGATATTTCAATTAATTTTCACAGGGGTGTATAGGTTTAATAGTTCCAGCGAGAATACTGTCTTATTTCTATTTGTAAAATTGTTTAATTCAAACTCTATCCGTGTGCAGTCTTTTTCATAGTAAATATGATATAATAACTGTGCTTATCCCTCCCTTCGTTAGTTAGCAAGACAGTTACGTCCTACCAATACCCAATAAATAATGGACTATTCCATTTTGATCGCGTGGAAAGACAAAACAAATATCAGAGTTGCTACTTGGTTTCAGTAAAAGAAAGAAACAACGATAGAATGATTTAACGTCTCCTGATACCTCATTAATAATGGACAATTCCGTTTTGATTGCGTGAAAAGATAAAGACATAGCAATGATGCTATGACGAAAATGAACGAAAGAAGGAAAGATAGAACTGTTTAACGTTTGTTTCAGTGAAATGTGAAAAAGCTAACAATTTCAAATCTTTTCATTTGTATATACTTCTTAAAATAACAACCAGCCTTCATATTTATGTCTATTGTTGCGGTATTTTACAAAGGTTGTTAAGCTTAAATACTTAATGATGTGTTAGAAGAATTTCTGCGGAATTTTATTGCCGTCGAACTAACATAAGAATTAGGATTCATCAGAAATTGAAAATAGGAAACCGTGAAATTTTCACAGGTTAAAACTAGTTACAAATGATTCGATTTTTCTGAGATAT